TCACTGATAAAACTCAATTCGAAATAGATGACGTCTTCGGGAAAGGAAAACGTCTCTGAGTACCCGTTCGCTGTCTTCTTTGCGACGCTTAAACTGGTTCGAAACGAGTTGATCCAGCAACAAAAATTGGGGTTTGATGCAACATGTTCAGACAATACACTTCGTTGTCATTGAATTCAAAACAGGTGATTTCTTTTTCAAAAGGATTCTGATCAATAGGAAATGTTCTATCAGATCACATTTATTCTGTGGCGACCGAATGAAGGTTTATTTTAATGTGATTTTGAACCCATCTTTGATGAAAATATTGATCAGTATGTGTAGATAAATAGGGTACATTCTTTTGAAAGGAATAGTTCTGTACTCCGTGTTGACAACCAGCCTGTTCCCTCAGTACATTCTATGAGCTACCTCGGTGTCACGATCTCCCAAGATCTCACCTGGACTTCATATCTAAACTTTACTTTTAAAAAGAATTTGACGATGCTTATCCACTTCTGCAACTAGATGTCGTTATAAACTTGTGTATGCTTGTATCACTGCCTACCGTTTGTCCGTTATCCCATATTTTTCGATATTTCTGGCTCAAAAGGCATCCGTTAGAGAAATAATTTCTGAATTTCCAACCCAATTAATATCCATTTTCCAACTTTAAGGGCCACATTTCTTTTGAATTTACGATGCCGTGTTTTACTTTATCCTTGTGACTGTATGCAATGATAAATGATCCTGGTGTGAAAGGAGCTGAGAATTCATCCAGTAGGATCAAAAAACGCGATTTTTGACTTGAATTTGACTTGTACCAAAAACTTTTGTGACCAGATGCATGACCATGAGAATAATCATTATAGTTTTCATATTATATTGCTCACCAGCTACCAAGGGCAAAACATATGCTGACTAAATGAAACAATGCCTGCTGATCAATGTCCATCGGTCAACGACCAGGTGAGCAAGTATCAGGAAATGTGACATACCGATGGAGCCATATTGTATAGCCGGATTCTAGGTTATTGCACACACGATTGGTATGGGTTTGTGTGGTAATTCAGGCCTACGAGATGATGCGTACCCTGGAGCGGCGCATCACAGTTTTCGGACATATGCGATCAATCAAATTTGAATGCTGACGTCGATGACACGCGTACGGCTTCCGACTACACTCCATAGGCAGATCGTGCCAGCCAATCCAAGACAGTGCAGACAGAAACAAGATTATGCAAGCAGTATTACAATCCAATTGGTGGAAGCTTAGACAACCAATAATCTTCTTTTGTAAATTTAATCGCCCTCATTTCTTTCAATAAGCGAACTACGTACTACTATTCCTGTGGCCTTTTCCTCGCGTCTCGTTCACCTGGGATATTGCGAGCTCGTGCCATTGCGGTCCAGTGCTTCCGTAATCCAGCCCGTGACAGCTAATCCTTGACTCGTGTCCGGTGATTCCTATTGCGTGGTTTGTATTCCGAATTCCGTGCGTACTACTACTACTACTACTACTACTACTACTACTACTACTAATGCTACTACTACTACTACAATCATTACAGTTTGCTCAAACGTGGAAACATATTGAAAATGCTAATTCATATGGGTGAGTCAAAGCAGGAGATCGATTGTACTTTAAGCATTCTAGCGCCTGTCTGTACCCAAGAGGGTAGAAAAACACATGATTCATGAGTAGCGAATAATTCATTTTGATTTTAAATTTACTATCATCCTGTTAAGATAAAAAATTGAGAATCGTGACCGTTGGACCTCGCTTGAGGAAACGCAAACATGTGCCGCACATTTGACCACACGATGGCAGTAAATCGATCAATTTTCATCTTATGCATGCTCGAAACAGTGCAGGTGTTGATCAAACTCGTGTAACATGATGATTTCCATCACATTTTTTCCTCTCCAAGTTTCGTTTTTCCATCCTCATTCACGGGATTGAATATGCTATCGCCCCACATCAGAGGCAACATATCTGATATATCACCCACTTTTGTCTTTGCTTCTATTATCCACAAGCCATTAAAATGTATACGATTTCTCGATGTTTGCAATGGTTGCTGTTGCATCAGTTAGAAAATAACAAAGTCACAGTAGAAAAGGTAACTAAAATTTATTTATTGAAATGACTCGTGGACTTCATACAGGTATTGTACTTTAATCTAGTCCATGTTTCTTTTTGTCCTTCTTCATTTCTGAGCACTGGATGCGGTCGTTTTACCATGGAGTCCACCAAGTTGCGCGCCAAACAGAATTCGCCAGTTTCCTCTAATACACCCCACACCCTACCCACGGACGACAATTTTTGAGGCAGCTAACTCATTCATGTTTCTTGTGCAGGGAAAAGTTTTTGATTAAATTAAAGTTCCACCTGTTGCAAGAGTCATTATTTTCCAAACGAAAGCGTGAGGAAGAAACGGTTAATTAGCTTGGACTATCCTCCAGATCGGTTTTGTGCAACTCATCTCTGCTACGATCAAATACACCCATTGTCTTGCTTTGATAAGATCGGTTTTATCCCTCTCTCAATCATTTTCCAAAACCTTTTGAACGTTCCATCCGGTTTGGGTATGGTGACACAACAAAACGCTTATTCAATTAGCCGCACACCCCAAGGTAAACTATCGAAGATCAACGTGTATGTTTCCTGTACTATATTCTCAGTTATTTAATTATTGTGGATAACGCGTCAGTAATTTATAGTCAAATAATTTATCAATTCAAGCTACAATATCTTCATAAATACGATTATTTCCTGTGCACTAGATCAAAACAGATAAACAATATAGAATACATGTGCTGAAATTAATGATCACTGTCGTAGAACAGGGATCATTTATTAACGCAACTGAATTGCCAAGCTGCTTTGCTTAAAATATTCTCCAAAGTTGAGCTGTAACTTTTGAACTACTACAATTTTTATCACAACACTGAAGTTGGCGCAAATTCAAACGGTAATAGAGGAGAACTAAGAATACAGATGTGAGAGATAAAATAAGGAATAAATCCACTTTACCCATAGTCATCAATTTACAAGTATGATATTGAAGACTGAAATGTATTTCCGAAATGAGAGTGATGTTGCACGAGTTTGATCAACACCTGTACAGTCCAAAGTCATAAGCTTCTTTCTAGCCGCGCACTCCGTTTATGAAAGCCAGTCTGGAGCGTTTTGTGGAGATTCAGCACCCTCTCCCCGTCCCCCCAATATGACGCCAGCCGGGCGACCACGCGTTCCAGTTTCCGGACAATGGGCCATGGGCCAACATTGTCGATCAGTCAACAGTGAGAGAGTTCAAACAGAAGACATGTGACTCGAAGAAAGAGAACGGTGATTAGTTGACATCCGTTTGACCAAACGATGTTTACATTCAATCATTACCTTTAATCCCATTGATTTCACTTAATAAATGAACCGCTAGTCCTGTGATCATTTTTCCACGTCTCGGTGACGTTTTATCCCACTGTATGATAGCTAGTGTTATTCTATGCTTCAGTTGCGACCATTGATTTGTGATCAACATTCCTCACCTACATTGATTGCTACATACTCCTTGTTCTTCTTCAAGCTTATTTACTTCATCGTTCGTTTTTTTGTCTAGAATCCCATACAATTCATCAAATGGTTTTTAACAATTAAACTCTATCTCATCGGAATAGCCCCATGGGATTTATTGAACTAAACAACATTCAACAGGGCTACTTGCTTCATACTACTTCTTCGCATTGTTCCAAGTTCCCACTCTATCTTTTTCACGTATACCGGTACTATTTTTGACAATTAATTTTCTCATGTTTTCTTTGAGATCCAGCTACTGAAGTTCATTGTCTGATGTGTGTCCAAAATAATCAAGTCTCGTTTTGCGCGAGGGATATTTTTCACGAGCTTTCAACGTTTTGTTCGTTTTAGGATTCAAATGTAATTCGCGCCCCAGCGCATTTCAGTCACGTTTGGGATGGGATCCCACCCCCCCCTTTGAATATAGTCAAAATAGAGTTATTCATCAATTTGCTTATGTGACATTTTTCCTACTCACGGTCACTGTCCCACCGACCACCACACTCTCGCTATTGATCGCTATGCTCCCTATTTCTTTTAAAAGGAATATGCACGTACTGTTTGAAACCGTTTTTAGTTCACACATTTAACCCTTCGCGAAGACAGCAGGTCATCCTTAACACGTGATTGTCTCATTCATATCATAGTTTATGTTTGTCAGAAGGCATCTCGTTTGTACTAGCCTAAAATGTTTATGCCTTCGAACACTACTTTTGACGTCACTGTTCATTACTAAGCTTTCTATTTTTCCACACTGATTCGTTGGACAATCGGATTAAGCCATTCCGATGTTTAAACAACAGTGACGAAGATCTGTGTCAACGGCTGAACCCAGGAACATCTGTTCCACTCATTTGTTATCGCGGGCAGAATCGATACGTGTTGCACGATCGTATTGTCCCCAGTGCGTTAAGTTATACGCAGTTCAGACTAACGTTGTGTTACACGAATCAGGATTCCATTGGCCAGTGAAAACAAATGTGTTGTTAGCTACATTTTATTGAAACGTTATTTCAGCACACATGACAATGGGATAATGAAGAACGTATCACACAGTAAGTTGTCAATGAAAACTGTTACACAAAAGGGTGGTGTCCGAAGTCCAAAACACAGACACACATGTTTAAAGGGAGACCCTTTTCACTCAATTGGTTATTCCAAGGATCTTGAACAGGACAACCAGCATCGAAATAATCGAATAGGAATGGTTGAACATTGGCGGAGTCGAGTTCTAGAAGTAGAAAGTAATAAGAAAATTCGGTTTGATTAGTTCATCAAATGCGAAGACTGTTTGTAACAGTCTAATTGCGAACCTCGCTACCAACAGTACCGCACATAATTTACGATCACCAACGGTCAATCTATCCCCCCCCCTCACATCACGCTAATGCACATAGATGATAAGCATTTTTATCCAAACCACAATGTTCCCCGGGGTCACTTAGCATTTTCGGTGATGGATATCAGACAGACCAACTTGATCCATAATACTCCCATGATGGATTTGGTCCTTGAATTGGAATCCCTGAAAAACCAGATGATTCAGTGAAGGTAATACTAATATTGAATCGGTGAAATCGTTCTAGTTATTCGTGGAAGCTAGTTTAATGCGGTGATGACTCAACTTTAAGGATATATATATATATATTCCGTCATCTAATTTCTTGCAGTTCGTTTAAAGTTAATTGCACAGATGTGCTCAGAAGAAATAAACAAACAAACAAACCTTTTTAGGTGCAGAGTAATTTACTCCATCCACTGTGACGGTCATAGTACCGGCGGAGACGCTGTTTTCAATAGCCGTTTGGGCTGCCGCGAGGGAACTATCCGTGTTCGAAGTCATTGTCACATCGGCCAAGATGCTTCCTGTAATAGAGATATGTCGATGGAATCAATGCATGCATGCATTTGTGTGTATGACTGAGGCTTATTTGCATAGACAGACCAAATTAACGATGACTACGGAAGCACGACACCGGGAACAATAACGTTTATAAGGGCGAAGGGGTTCGCTCTGTTCCCTTGTCTAAGGTGGCATGTATGAGAGGCAGCTCTCAGTCGTGATAACAACACTTTTGATTGTTGCTGAGTCGCACTCGTCAAAACACTTAAGATATTGAACACACCAAACGGAGACAGCGAGAGAGAGACCTAGGCTGACTCCATCCTATCGGTCTGCCGTTGATCACAGTAAACCTATGCACGGATATGAATAAGTGTGCGTCTCTATTGGGCAACCTTGTTCCCTCAAAAAAAAACGCTCCATTCCCCAAGTTCACTGAGAACACTCAAAGCACCAACAGGTTGTTTAACAGACTTGACGAACTGACAAATTACTCCAACGTAAGTTGTGTTGAATGACATTCGAGGAGAGTGGATGGCTAGGACAGCTGAGAAGACCAAAGTGCCATGAGCAGCGACAGTACTGGGATTGGATTCAGTAAAATTTAGTCTATTACAAATGGAGCATGAAGAGTGTCGTATNCGTATGCCGAAATGTGCTTGTTTTGTTGCCCGGATCAAAAGAAGACAACACAGGCATTAGACCCGCCTGATCCGCAGGACTAGACTGGAGGCATCTCGTAAGATTTTGGTTTGTGAGAAGGAACTAGGCACATAAAGTAGACGGTTTCAAAACGAGAGTCCAAGACTGAATGATTGAAGGGCCACATAAAGACAAGCTTTTCTTATGATT